ATTCTAAATTACTAATATCTAAAAAGAAACTAATGATCTAAAACTAATATCTAAAAACTAATATTGATACTCTAGACTATGTATAAAAAGGATGCTTAAAACACTATGAAAATACCTAATACCTAAATGCTAAATATGAAAGAGCTACAAATCAAAGGCATCCTTAAACAAATAAGTTTTTAGATTCTTTTTAAAGATAGCTAAGGAAGAACTCTCTTTAATATAAACTGGAAGCTTGTTCCAAAGCATGGGAGCATAGACAGAAAATGCACGTAGCCCATAAGATTTAAGTTTATAGCTAGGCTGCTCTAAGAGAAGTTTGTGCTTTGATCTGAAACTACGTTTAGGGCACATAATGGTTTAAGAGGACATTAAGGTATTCAGGTGCAGCGCCCTTGATTATTTTGACATTGACAGTTAGTCTTAGAATACCTTATGTAATATGTTATTATCTTAAAAAAATACCCTAAAAGATACYAGCTTGAATTAAAATGACCCAAAAATCTTTTAGACACCCTAAAAGATACCAGATCCTCGATTTTTACCCACTGAAAGACACGACGAGAATCCCCAGTCCATCCCCCCCGGGGGGGTTAACCTAATACCTCGGTCGATAGTAACCTGAAGATCAGTAAAGATTAATCCACATGACCTGGTCAAAACCAATTTGCAATGTTAATAATAGTTAGAGCTAGCGTATGTTCATAAAGTCTATTTACTTACTATTTTATTCTGCTTATTGCTATTAACCTCCCGGCTTAGTCTTGTTCGACTCTCGTGTTAATTCTATTAAGTTCTGTGTTGTCAAGAGATCGGCTAGAAGACTTGTCTGGTTCTTATCAACGAGAAAATGACTATAATTTGGCTTTCCTGTTCAACGTTACGTAATTTCTTCAACCACGCGATAAATTTCCCTAGCTGGGCAGTTTATTATAAGAGAATGTATTCATGAAATTTTGCATATTGTCGATTTTCAGCGTAAATATTGAATAAACTGCAATTGTAACTTTACTGCTTGTCTTGTAGCAGTTCCTGGCAATTTATGCGAGCGAGTTTCACTACTTTTTAGAATTTTTTACCGAGGTAGGACAATATATAAATTGACAATATGTACAAAATCCCCACACATTCTATTTTAATAATGCAGAGACCTGTGGTATGTTTGTTTGCCGCTACAGCACTACAAAAATAAAGTCAAATAGATACCTAATTCCGTCAAATTCATTGACTATATCCGGAATAAAAGAACTTAAAAAACATAAATATAATAAATATGGATAAATATTACAAATGTTTTATAAAAATAGGGTGTAGATTTTGAAGAGGAACGGATAAATATGGTGATCGATTGACTCGAAGATCATTTGTATTCAGTCTTTTGTAGCGTGAGAAATCACGAACTATAAAAGGTCAAGCTTACTTGTTGTTCGAGAAAAAAGCTAACAGTTTATTACTTAACATATTATTTAGCTGAAATATTTTGTAATACTCTTATAAAAATAGTTATAAGTATAAACAGTACACTAAGTACTAAGATAAGTAACGAGTAATCGATCTATATCATGTCGTGACTATTTGATTATCAGCATTATCGTTCAATTGCATGGGGTGTCAAACAGACCATTAAAACGTGCAGTTATATTAATAAAGCTTCGCTTACCTTCGGCTGTGTGTATAAAAAATAGAAATCCACAGAGGAAAAACTGGAAAAGGTGGAATGGATTGATAAGCATTTTAATGGCTTCTTGAGTGAGCGGCAAACGATTTCGTGATCGACGTGATCGACTGTCATCCTCGCACCATTCCCTACACATCCAAGTTAAAAGAAAAGCGACTGGGACCGGAGGGGAAAGACTGACCAATATAATTTGGAATGAGCTTTTATGCTGAAATGAGCGGCAAGATAAAAAGAAAGACTTTATATCCGGAAGTGGTGCTTACAAACGGTACGCGCACACACATTGTGCAGTTTTCGTATGACTGTGAAAAGTTCACGGTACGTACACGGTCGTGACAAGGCAGGGGGTACGCCAGACCAATCACATTGCACGAGAATTTACTCTCCATACCCAGAACATGGCATAAACACTGCGCGGGCACGGTCACGTCAAGATCACGGCTCTTTTAGATCAATCATACTGCGCGTGAAAAAAAATCAGTCAATTAAAATTCTAGAAAGTATCACGGTCACGGCACGTCACGCTTACGGCACTGAGCTTTTATTTCACAGTCATACGAAAACTGCTCTGTAAATAGTTACAACGTACCGTAACGTTGTGTGAATGCTTATAGCAGTTCATGGGCGTATATCGAAGGGGTCCACCGCCCCCTTAAAAAGTTGATTGCTTTTTTCTATTTTGTTGGGCTACCTGTGGAATTGGCTGGAATTTTCGCGCAAAAACGCGTGTACTCGCTACGTCAGTTGCAGTATACGAGTATCTGCGATTGCTGATATTTTCATCGATGTCATTTACATCTCTGTTAAATCCACTTTAAACCATTGAGAGTTAGTTTTAGAATACCTAAGTGGTTCGAAGTTCGTTTTTTTATGAAAGGGTGTATGTGTGTAGGGGAATGGGGGGAGGGGTGGGGATGAGTTGGGCCAGGGGAGAGAGACGCCAGTGAAATACATCAGCAGTCTCGAGCAAAGAATATTCTTGGCGGGAAGAACACCAACCGTTATAGGAAAAGGAACCTATTTACCTTTTTTGATGCGAATTATCATATAAATAGGTGAAGAGCCACCTCGTGGATTCTATTGATTAAACCATTATTATTATTATTATTATTATTATTATTATTAATATTATAAAGACTTTCTGAGAACCTATTTGTCAGACTCATTATTACCTCCGAGGCTTCAAAACAATTCGGTGCCTAGGCTATCCGAAAGCAGTAAATGTATCGGTCTCAAATGAACAGTGGAGGGGGATGAGGGGTGGAGAGGGGGAGAGTCGGGGAAAGGAAATCATGGCGGGTAGGGGTGAGCGAAGGAGTTAATTGGAAGAAAACATTTACTATTTTTCTCCTTTTGTTCTTTTGCGTTAATTTTTTTTGCAGACCAAGTAAGAGTTGTGCTGTTATGTGGTATCACCATCGGGGTTAGCTCAGCCACCAGCTCACCACTACCGCCACCCGGTTAGCTCAGTTGGTCGGTCTGTTGTGCGGGAGGTCGTGGTTCAAGCCTCGGCCGGACCAACACTCAGGGTCTTAAAATAACTGAGGAGAAGGTGTTGCCTTTGTAATTACATCTGTAAATGGTTAGACCTTCAAGTCTTCTCGGATAAGGACTTAAAACCGTAGGCCCTGTCTCCCAACCCTTCCTAACCTACAGTAAATGGGGGACATAAAAGAACCTATTGAATTATTCGTGTAAGAGTAGGGGATTGTCTCCCGGTTCAACAGCCTATCCCAATCTGAAGGCATTAATATTAACTTACTAACCGAATCACTCATGATTGTAAGCTGCACGGCTGCTACTAGCGCCTAAATACGCAGCCCGTAAAGTCCTCCACTGGTCATTATTGTGAAGCGCATTGAGACCATGTAAAATGCGCTATATAAGAACCCCGTTATTACTCGGGCTACCTGTAAGGTAGGCCGAGTTTAGGTTTCGGTTTTGTATCAGTCTATCGTATGGTCGAGGTTTTACATGATGAATATGCATGCGATCGAGACAGTCATGAAAGCGAGGCGACGCACGAGTGCAACTCATGTGACCTACATGTTGGGTCGGAGGTTTTCTTGCTCTCTGCTCCTCGTCGGTGTTTTGTTATGGCGAATTCCTTTTCTTCTGGGACACTCAAAATACACACAAACGCACACGCCGTTCGCGGTAGACCCACACTAAAAGATGTCGAGCGTTTTCGGAACGGGTCGGTCCGCGAACTCAAAGCAAAATGCCAAAAGAATGCCAAAGATACCAGAAAGATTACCAGAAATGTGAA